TTCTCTGTGGATGAGTTTTTGCAGAGGCTTTCCCCTGTAGGGAGAGGCTTGCCCCTGTCTGGTGCTAAGGCATGCCCATTACTGTGGTTCACAGTAGCAAGTCTATTTGCTTGGTTGACTCCCGATATTTTATTTTATTTTATTATTTCTTTTGTTTCTCATTTTGTTCATAATTTAACCAGGAAAGGGTTATTTGTTATCTACATGTATAGAAAAAAGTCTACAAAGAGGGCTGAGGATATAGCTCAGTTGGTAAAGTGCTTGCCTTGCATGCATAAGACCCTGGGTTCAAATCCTGTCCCCCCCCCCAAAAAAAAGAAAGTCTACAAAGATATACCATGATTTTAAAAGGAACTGGTTGATGTTTTTTTCTTATCTTTTTGAATTCGTTGAATTTATAAAATATGTAATTAGGACACAATTAAGATGGATACAGTGCCATATTCCTGTATTCTCAGCTACTCAGGAGATTGAGGCAAGAGGATTGCAAGTTCCAGGCCAGTATGGGAAACTTTGACCTATGCCAAAATAAAATAAAAAGGGCTGGGAATGTAGTAGCTTAGTAGAAAAACACCTCTAGTTCAATCCTCAGTACAGGGGAGTGGGGTGGGGTGGGAAAGCATTTAAAACCTTTAAAAAATATAATCAGGTCTGATTTTCCATGTAGAATTCTTCTTTTTACAGGAAATAAGCTGGACCTGATATTCTTCTACCTTCATAATTGGTACTTGGGTCTAAAACTTAAAAGAGGCAAGAGTATATTACTTTTCCAATATTACGGATTTGCCATTTCATCGTGTTAAAATAATATGTGTTTTTGCATTCTATCCATAGTGTTAGGCCATTTGCATGGTTTTTTAAAAAGTGAGTTCCAACATTTAACTGAAGTTAACTGATTTCTCTTTCCTTCTTGGAAAATAGAGCTGTTCTCTAAGCTTCTTTTTCTTTTTCTTTTTAAAATTGGATACCAATATGTAGAAAAATGAAAGTAGATCCCTATCTGTCACCCTGCACAAAACTCAAATTGAAATGGATAGAAGACTTAGGAATTAGACCAGAAACCTTACAAGTGCTAGAAGAAATCATAAGTTCAACACTCCCTTATATGTGTTGGCACCTACTTCCTTAACAAGACCCCCAAAGCACAAATAAAACCAGGAATTAATAAGTGAGATACCATCGAGCTAAAAAACTTCTGCACAGCAAGGAAAACAATTAAGAGCATGAAGAGAGAGCTTACAGAATGGAAGAAAATCTTGGCCAGCTACTCCTCCAATAGGGGATTGATATTCAATATAAAAAGAACTCAAAAAACTTAACACCAAAATATATATAACCCAATCAATAAATGGGCAAAAAAATTAAACAGAAACTTCTCAAAAGAAGAAACACAAATGGCCATCAAATATGGCCATTTGAAAAAATATGAAAAAATATTCAACATCTCTAGTAATCAGGGAAATGCAAATCAAAGCTGTGCTTAAGATTTCATCTCACTCCAGTCTGAATGGCATTGATAAAGAACATAAACAATAATAAATGCTGATGAGGTTGTGGGGGAAAAGGTATACTTGATGGGACGATGGACTAATACAACCACTCTGGAAAGCAGTATGAAAATTCCTCAAAAAACTAGGGCTGGGGACTGGGGTTGTGGCTCAGTGGTAGAGCCACTTGTCTCGAATGTGTGAGGCACTAGGTTTGATCCTTAGTACCACATAAATAAATAAAATGAAGATATTGTGCCCATCTATAACTAAAAAAAAAAATCTAAAAAAAAATGGCAAGACTTGATTTAAAAAAAAAAAATTAGGCATGGAACCACCATATGACCCAGCCATCCCACTCCTTCATATTTTCCCAAATGATCTAAAATTGTCATACTGTAGCAATACAGCCACAATGTTTATAGCAGCCAAATTCACAATAGCTAAATTATGGAGTCAACTCAGATGTCCATCAGTAGATAAATGGATTAAGAAATGGTGATGTGTATGTATGTGTGTTTAGTTTCTACTTAGCCATAAAAAGAATGAAATTATGGCATTTGTTGGTAAATGGATGGAAATGGAGAATAACATGCTTAATGAAATAAGCCAAGCTAAAAACTAAACTCAAGGGTCAAATGTTTTCTTTCATATGCGGAAGCTAGGGTAAAATAAAGTGGGGGGGAGGGAAGAATAGGATAACATAAAGGGAAGATCAATATTGTAGAAGGGGGAGATGGAAAGGCAGAGCAGAGGGGAAGCACTGCAGAATGAATTCTTTTTTTTTTTTTTTTTTGAGAGAGAGAGAATTTTTTAATATTTATTTTTTAGTTTTTCGGCGGACACAACATCTTTGTGGTGCTGAGGATCGAACCCGGGCTGCACACATGCCAGGCGAGCGTGCTACCGCTTGAGCCACATCCCCAGCCCRCAGAATGAATTCTTAAAAAATCATGTGTATATATAAATATACCACAGGGAACTTCACTTTTATGCATAGGTAGAAAGAACCAATCAAATATAAATTAATAGACAAGTGAAAGGGCGTCTAGTAGAGTAGAGGAAGGAGAATGGGAGAAGGGAGGGAAAAGGGAGAGAAACAGTGGGATCATGAACTGAAATCAAATTTAATGCATAAATGAATTTGTCAGGATGAACCCAGCTACTATGTATAATTATAAAGCTCTAATAAAAAAAATTATTCCTTGCCATAAAAAAGAATATTATTCTGGATTCATATATTCTTCCTATGTATTTGTGTGTGTGTGTGTGTGTGTGTGTGTGTGTGTGTAGGTTTTACTGTGTTTGAAATTACAGGATATATTAGTTTAGAGGGGAAAATGCATATATATATATATTATTATTTTTCTTCGTAGTGCTGGGATGGAACCCAGGGCCTCGGGTGCACCTCTGTACTCCCAGCACATAAAATTCTTTAGGGTGTTACCATGTATATGTGTCTKTGTCTGTATATCTCTTAATTGTTGTTTGCTTTTTGGTATTGGAGGTTGAACCCGGTGATGCTCTACCACTGAGCTATATTTATATTCTTAGCCCTTTTTATTTATTTAGTTTTTTGAGGGTTTCACTAAGTTGTGGAGACTAGCCTCAAACTTGTGATCCTCCTGCCTCAGCCTTTCATGACATTGGGATTGCCACCTATATGCCGTTGGGCCTGGCTACTTTTTAATATCATTATCCAAAATAATTGCATGAATTCATATTGAAATTTTATAAGATTCAATACAATGAAAATACAATGATTCAGTCATATTCTAATCATTTTTATAACAGTTTGCTGTTTAATTTTTACTTTGATCGTGAAATGTATCACACTACAAAAAAGATTTTGAGAATAAAATAAAGAACTTCTAGATGTACACTATCAAATTAATAAACAGAAGCCACTGTGTAATCTATTTTTGATCCCCCCTCTAGTTTAATGTTTAGCATTCTTATGCATGTTTACTCTTTTAACTATCTTTGTGTGTTTCTGTAAAAATGCAGGGTATATCTGGTGTGGTGGCACATACTGGTAATCCCAGCAGCTTGGAGGCTGAGGCAGGAGGACCACAAGTTTGAGGCTAGCCTCAACAGTTTAGTGAGACCCTGCCTCAAAATAAAAAATAAAAAGGTCTTTGGATATAGCTCATTGATAGAGCGCCTCTGGGTTCAATTCCCAATTACCCCCCCCCCCACCAAATAAAAATATAAATGTTTTGAATATTTTAAAACTTTAGGGAAAATATTCATATATTACTTCTACTTCTGGTAATGTAAAATATTATAGATACTTTGAAAAACCATTTGCCATATCCTTAAAAAATTAAATAGTTAACCATATGACCCAGCAGGGCTATGTGTCAAAGAGAATGAAACATATGCCCACACAAGAACTTATACATGAATGTTCATAGCAGCAGTATTGTTTATTTATATTAGCCAAAAAGTTTAAAAGAAAAAGCAAACCAAGGTGTTCATAAACTGTTGATTGGATGAATAAAATGTGCTATATCTATTCAATGGAATATTATGCAACAATAAAAGAAATATTGATGCATGATAAAACATATATGAACTTTGAAAATATGCTATAAAACAAGCCTGTTACACAAGAAGATACATGATACATGGTTTTCTTTTCTTTTTCTTTGTGGTGCTGGGGATTGAACCCATGGCCTTGTGCATGCGATTCGAGCATTCTGCCAACTGAGCTATATCCCCAGCCCCCGATACATAATTTTCTTCATGTGAAAAGTCCCAAATAGGTGAATGTGTAGGGACGGAAAGTTGATAGGGAAGAGAATGAACACTGACTGCCAGTGGGTGCAGATTTTTTTTGGGGGGGGAGGGTGATGAAACGTTTTATAATTATTAGTGATGGTTGCACAAATCTGTGTACTGAAAACATTGAACTGTACACTTTAAATGTGTGGATTGTATTGGTATGTGAGTTAAAGCTTTTTTTAAAAGTTCACGTGAATGTTAGAAATTCTTCAGTGATTAACTTTTTTTGACTTCTCATTATAAGTTAATGCTACTTATTATGAGCCCAAGCAAATCACTGTATTGTGATATTCATGCATTTTTGCACATTTCATTTTGCATATCATTTTTACATTCCATTGCATGACTTTACTGTATTTCATTAATCAGTTTTGTTTTGCTATTGAAAATGATTCAGTGAACAGTTTAATAAATATTTCCTTATGATGATACATTTTTAAAGCTTTCTCCCAATTTAGAATTTGACAGGAATATTGATGATGCATAATTTATTTAGTTGTTTAGGAGGCATTTTACTATCAGTAAAATATACCATACCTGAGAATATTTAATTATATAATTTTAATGAAGTTAGAAGTACTCTATCTTCTCAAGTTTTTCTGTAGTTTTTTTTTTTTCTTGGCAAGAGAAGAGGTAGGGCTTCTTAACTATTGTGCCTTTATTGGTTTTTAGTGTTTTGTAACACAAAATTATACACTAATTATCATGTATGTTAATATATCTTAGAAAAAGCCACAAATGAGTACAACACCACGGAAGATTGGAGTCTTATTATGGACATATGTGACAAAGTTGGAACCACTCCTAATGGGTAAGATACTCAGTAAACATTTAGGAGCTTATTTAACCTGTGTGTCTTCATGATGCAACTTTGAAAGTGAATCGAGGTTTTAGTTTTAACAAAATTATTTAACTTAACTGTTATTGAAACTGTTTAATTTTGAGAGATAAAGTAGAGAGCCAGTAGGCTGGGTTTATGAAATTAACCTTATCCTGAAAGAGCAAATGGAAAAGAGTTCAACTGAAAACTTGAGCTATGTTGGCATAGGTAATTAAAGGTTTGACACAACAGGGACACATGTTATAAAAATGAATAGATTAGTTACTGGGGGAATTTCCCTATACTTAGACGTATATGAGAGTCTTTCCATAGTAAAAAGGTAAATAAGTCTTTTGATGAAAAAGGTGAATGTAAGAAAAGAATGCTGCTGGGCGTGGTAGCCCATGCTTGTAATCCTAGTGATTCAAAAGACTAAGGCAGGAGGATTGCAAGTTTGATTCCAGCCTCAGCAATTTAGCAAGACTCTCAGCAATTTAGGGGGACTCTGTCTCAAAATAAAAAATAAGAAGGACTGGGGATGTAACTTGGTGGCAAACACCCCTGGGTTCAATTCCCCAGTACCAAAAAAATTCCAAAATTTATAGAGTGCTTTTCAGGAAGGTATGGTAATTATGCAGGCTGATTATACACTAAAAGTGTAGAAATTGTGAAAGCATTTTTTTTAACATTAAACTCTTTAATTTTTTTTTCTTTTTTGCAGTACTGAGGCCTCACATATACTAGAAAGTGCTGTAATGCTAAGCTACTCCCCCAGCCCTTTTTAAATTATATTTTAGGACAGGGTCTTAACCAAGTTGCTCATCTGGCTACAAACTTATGATCTTTCTGCCTTCTGAGTAAATTCCAGGTGTACACCACTGTGCCTGACAATATTCAGCTTTTTCATGTGAAGCTTTTAAGAATGTACATTGGCACTGGGGATGTGGCTCAAGCGGTAGCTCGCTCGCCTGGCATGCGTGCGGCCTGAGTTCGATCCTCAGCACCACATACAAACAAAGATGTTGTGTCAGCCGAAAACTAAAAAATAAATATTAAAATTCTCTCTCTCTCTCTCTCTCTCTCTCTTTGTCTCTCTTTTTAAAAAAAAAAAAGAATGTACATTGTACTAATTCTTTTCAAGAGAAGAATTTGCTGTCTGAAAGCTCTTTGTCTTGAAGAAATGAAGAAAGAATTAGTATGATATGGTTCTCTTGTGTTGACTGACATTTTGTGGAATGATTTGTCTCTTGATTTGGGGCTATACAATGTTTACAACAATTTTTTTTTTTAAGATCTATAAGTTTGTTAGCAAAAGATTGTGTAAAATCATAAATTTATAGACTTATTCYTTAACAAAGTAAAGTTACTGGGATTTATTTTTAAAGTTATTTGCTTGAAAATTTCTTATATTTTTTAATGTTGGAGTTAAAATTGTCAAAAAATACTTAACTTTCTCCATTTTTTTCTTAGAGCAAAGGATTGCCTAAAAGCCATCATGAAAAGGGTAAATCATAAGGTTCCTCATGTTGCTCTGCAGGCATTAACTGTGAGTAAAAATCATGTTATTTGACTAAATTATGAAAATGACATTTATTTCAATAAGGAAGATAATATTTCAACATTTATATATTAATTTTTATTTTAATTAATAGCTTCTTGGGGCTTGTGTGGCAAACTGTGGAAAGATATTTCATTTAGAAGTGTGTTCCCGTGATTTTGCAACAGAAGTACGTGCTGTGATAAAAAATAAGGTAAATTTTCAAAAGAGAAGAAATTTAAGTCATTAAAAATATATATATTCATTATTTTAATTATATATAATAATGTATTATAAACTTAAATAAATATTTTAGATAAATTGAAAAGAAGCTTCTTGTTAGAAATTTGATTTAAAAAAATTTTATAGCACTAAAATCTTTTTTCTCCCTAAGGAATTTATGTTGTTAATTTAGCTAATCTTTGAGATCTAGTAAGTAGTCACTGCTTTAACCATTTTGGATAGTGTGTCTTGTTTAATGTTCCTCACCACTTTTGGAAGTTAGATTCTCTTTTTCCAGTTTTATACATGTAGAAACTGAGGCTTAAAGGGAAGTAACTTTCTGTGGTCATGCAGCTATTAAGTGGCAAGCCAAGATTTAGATCTAGGTTTCTGTGACTCTAGATTCCTGCCTCTAACTACCATTCTATGTTGACTCCCATCAGCATTGGTGAGCAAAGGGGATTTTAATCATAGAGCAGAGTGGAGGGGGCCCTCATAAGGTTGTTACCAATTTCTTTGAGACAGACACTTAGAAGCACCATTCTCATGTTTTTAGTGGTAAAAATCCCAGAAATTTAGTCAAGTTGATATAAAAATCATAATGTAATATAGAGAATGTTGAAGAAACATAGAGGGTATAGCCTTGAAATATGAGGGATTTATTAGTCATCCAAGACTTAGAAATTAATGTTCCAGACGGGTGATTTTACATGGAACAACTCTATCTTACAGTCTAAACAGGCATCTATCAATTATTCACACCAGGTATTGCCAGATTTTTGTTGATGTTCATATAATTAAAGAGAATTTTGGTGAGAATTCTGTTAGTTAAATAATTTTGGTATTTATTTTAACTACAGTGGGTTTTTCACCCCCTCCCCCTTTCTTTAAAAGGCTCATCCTAAAGTATGTGAAAAACTGAAATCTTTAATGGTGGAATGGTCAGAAGAATTTCAGAAGGATCCCCAGTTTAGTCTCATATCTGCAACTATTAAATCTATGAAAGAAGAAGGAATTACTTTTCCTTCGGCAGGTTCTCAGGTGAGAGATTCATTCAGATTCATGATTGGCCTATATTAGTTTGAAGTATGAATTTTATATGAAAGATTATAGGCAAGAGATGTCTTTTTAAAAATTTTTAAAAATATTTTTAGTTGTAGATGGACACAATACCTTTATTTTGTTTATTTAGTTTTTTTTTATGTGGTGCTAGAGATTGAACCCAGTACCTCACGCATGCTAGGCAAGTGCTGTACTACTGAGCCACAACACCAGCCCTAGGCAAGGGATGTCTTGATCATCATTTCCCACCTCCATTCTTGAAGTGACAATCTAACATAGTGCCTTACATTTAGTAGACATTCTAATTGTTCAGTGTTTTTCCTCTATATTGGAACTTTGGAAAGTGGATCTATAAAGTTAGAAATTTTGGCATGGGGGAGCTAGGGAATAGTAGGATGGTGGGAAGGGGAGACAGGAATAATGACCCATGGAGTGGGCTAGTTCTTTAAGTTTGTGGGAAACCATTGTCTGAGTGCTTTGCTGTCTGTGTCTTTTTTCCCTCCAGTTAATATTAAGCTGTGGGCTAGAGAAAGAAACTAAGGAGGAGAATACTATATTTTCTTTTGTTTTAGATTTTAAGAGAGAAAGCAGCTTTAGGTTTAGCCGCTTAGACCTAAAGATACAGGGTTGAGTTTTGAGACAGATGCCTTATAAGTAATAAAAAGCAACTGTTGTGCTCTTTCTACATATTGTTCTCAAAAATTGGTGTTAAAGAACTAGTTAATAGTACTAGGGAGGTGGCTCAGTGGTAGAATGCTTGCCTAGCACTGGGAAAAAAGAAAACTGATTGGTGGTTCATAGTTCTGGATATCTGTCTTTACATGCCATTAAATTTAAGCATTACCTTCTTTATTCTGCTATAGTGGAAAGCCACCATCATCAACTAGTTGAAGAGGACTTCAGATGTATTCCTAGAACTGTACCTGATTTCTCTCTCCCCTTCAGTATTTATGACTTCTTGTTGGTATCTCTTCTGTAGCTCTATGCCAATAGCAGTAGAGCACCTCTCATTGAAGAAGATATCTCAGTTGAAATCAGGCAGTGTAATCAGGAAAGACGCACATTTATTCATTCTATAAATTTTTAAGTACTTTCTTTATGCTAAGTTCTGTGTTATATACCAAAAAAAAGTAAGCCAGTTTGTGCCCTTTGTGTACTTATAATTTTTTTCTTGAAAACTCTGATGTTTTAGTATTTGAAAACAGTTACTTAAAATTGTCATAAAGTGCTTGACTTTTAAATGAAACTCAAGTTATATCAGTATTTTTTAAAATTAGCATTTGCAAGTAATTATAGTGCTTGTGTTTCCTTTGAAAAGATACTTATGTTCATTTTACGCATACATTTACAGACTGTCTCAGCTGCTGCCAAGAATGGAACATCATTGAACAAAAACAAAGAAGATGAAGACATAGCTAAAGGTAAAATGATCAAGCATGTATAATTTAGCATCAATTAAAATATCCTCACCTGAAAATTTTAATGAAATAAAAATTATAATAAAACTAGGTGTGCTTTTAGTTGAGGTAGCTCAAATATAAAAATCAGTAGGGTCTTAAGTAAAGGGGAAAAAATGACAGGATGGATTTAATTCATTTTCCTTTTCAGTAATATGTATTTAATGTCCTACCTTTGGAGAGATTACATTTCACCTTTTCTGTAATGCCAAAGTTATGAGTCAAACACAGAAATGTGTTCACGGTTTGTCCTATATGGAAAGTTACCCATATTATAATGTCACAATCTGTTTGCTATAAAAATAATAGCTGCTGTATATGACAGACTGTGATAATAAGGAATGAGCAAAAACTATTTTAAAAATGTCGTGTTTCCCTGCCCCACAGAAAATTAACTGTTTAGCATTTAATTGGACAAATAAAATATTCATTTGGTTTATTGTTAACTATCTTATCTGATATTTCTTTTTAAACTTTTTTAAAAGTCAGAATTAATCCTTGCTATCTTATGTTTTCTTTTTTTGCATTTTAATTTTTCAAACCAGCTATTGAATTATCTTTGCAAGAGCAGAAACAACAACACACAGAGACAAAATCTTTATATCCATCTGCAGAAATTCAGTTAAATAATAAGGTTGCACAAAAAGTGAGAGCTTTATACGATTTTGAAGCTGTTGAGGACAATGAACTCACCTTTAAACATGGTGAAATCATTATTGTTTTGGATGACAGGTATGTTTTAAATATTTATCTATGGAATTTTCTGAAGTTTTGAAGCACAGTGTCCTTAACTGAGAATCCTGAATATTCAGTTCCTTGATTTTTGGTGTATTTAAATCATAACAGAACATTTTCAACTCCTTGCTTTTTTTTTTTAGGTAAATGTTAGACAAGATGTTAGTTTCTTGTTTTGTTGTTAAATTTACTAGTAAAGTATTCTTTATCTCTTGATGTGTTGATATTGTTGACTAGCACAGTTAAGAAATGAATATTCAGTCATCTGAATGCATTTGCCTTGGTATTTGTATATTACAAAATTATTGGCAGCAAATTTTTGGGAAGAAATATTACTGCATTATCTTGATCAAAGCAACCACAAGCTATGCTTGGCTCCTCCTCATTCCTTAAATCTAATACTCTTCCCTCCTTATAGGTTCTCTGTAGTTTAAAAGTGTAAGAAAAAATAGATCTATCTATATTGAGCCTGATTCTTTTTTTCTTTTTACTTTTAAAAGAAATTGATGAAGTTGGGCACAGTGATGCACACCTATAATCCCAGTAATTCARGAGCCTGAGGCAGGAGGATGGAAAGTTCAAAGCCAACCTCAGCAACTTAGTGAGACCCTGTCTCAAAATAATAAAAAGGGCGCTGGGGATGCAACTCAATGGTTAAATGTTCCTGGGTTCAATCCCAGTACCGAAAAAAGAAAGAAATTGATGAATTTAGCAAGTGTGAGACCTGACAGCTTGTTGCTATGAACAGAGATTGCAAATGTATTTCTTAACTGTTATAAATAACTCAGTCAGAATATACTAGTCTAGTATATTTTTAAATGAGTAGATACATAATGGTTACTTTGTTGCAGTTAATATTTGAGAAAATGTTAAGTTATAGACTCTTTAATAGGAAATGAATGGGGACATAGTTCTATTTTCATCAAACCTAGAATAAAATGGGAATTAAAATTACTATACACAGTTGTATATAAGGCAAAATGTGATGAATACCATAAAAGGGGTACCATTGGATACTGGAAGAGAGCAGATATATACTTGGTGCAGGTATCCAGGGAGATGGCTTATTCAGGGGCTCCATTTCAGATGAACCCTGATTGATTTTGAAAAGAAAGGAAAATTTTGCAAGAAATTGAGAACAGGAAAGGGAAGGCCTCATAGGCAGTCAAGGTAGGTAGCACTGTGTTTAGTGAGAAAATAATCTTTTTGCCATCAAATTTGTTTGAAAATAATTATTTGAATTGCAGCACATGATCCCTGAAGGGGAATAAATAGAAATAAAGAGGTGACATGTTCTAAATACTTATAGTCTTTAGGTGCCCATCTTCTGAGTATGTTTAAGTTAGAATAGTTACCAAAGAACTAGGTTTACACATTGATACTTTTATATAACTATAAAATTTAAGATATTTATACATAGAAACAAAACTATAAAATGAATACTTTTTCTGTTTTAAATTTAGAACATTATGTGTACATAAGAAAATTTCTTAAACTGCTGTTTCCAAAGTAAATATAGTACTGCTTAATAGCACAAATATTTTAGCAGATCGGTACTGCCCTGTCCTGTGTAATAATCTGTTCTTTTTTTTTTTTTTTTTTTTCTGTTGAAACTGCTAGGAGTCTTTCATGCAGTTTCGGGTGATATTATTTGGCTTTTCTGTGGCATTATATGCCTATTGTAGTCTACTGACCTCCATCAAATAGAGGGTTACATTATTGTTCTAAATCATTTCTTTTTCACAGACGTCCATTTAAAGCATGAACTTATTAAATAACTTAGACTAATATAATTTTCAGTTGTCTTGTTACTGCAAAAAAGAACTCTTGTAACTGCTAAGAGAATTAAATCTGAGGATGATGGAATAGATAGGCTGATTGCTGTCATTTTTATAATAGTCTTAGGTTGCCATAGGTATGCTTACTAGTAAATTTGGGTTAAATGTTGTCATTTTATGTGATTGATAATCACTAGCAAAATTTTAAACATAAATGCAGATTGGATGGTACTATTAAATGTCATTGTTCAGTTAAAAAGAAGTCATTCAGATGATTCAGAAAATGATTCTCTTCATTGTTTTTCGATTGCTATGGAGTTGAAAACATAAAATTTTCACATGCAGAACTTCAAGTCCCTTGAAAGTTTATCACTCTTGAGTCTCATTTTAAGAAATACTCAGTTGATTTTAAAAGGCACATATTTCTTATTAACAGAAAATATACCAAAAAAACCCCTTTAATTTTCAGAACATTTTTAACTGTAACTCATTGCTCCTGTTTTGTTCTTTATGTAAGCATTTCAAATAATCAAGTGGAATTATTGCAGTTTGAAAAATGCCATGTTCTGATTAGACCTCTTGTACATTTGGTTCTCTGCCTGGAAAGCCCTGTCAAAGAAGACAAAAGCATTTAGAAAAGAAAAAGAAGTTTACTAGCAAGGGAGGTTTGCAAAGGAGTCCAAGTTTTACAAGAATTGGCTCCTCATATTAAAAAATACAAAAGGTATTTTAAGAAAAAGACCCCCCAGAAAATTACCAGGGTTTCTAGGTTTCTAGCTTTCTATTTGTATGTTTGAGGTAAAAATAACAGTTTTTTTTCACATGATTTTATCCATAAAGGACATAACTGACCTTTATTTATTGCCATTGCAAAACCCTATAGATGAGTTGTTTTCATTAAGTCATTGGCTTATGAGAGTGTCAAGTTTTCTCCTTCCTTCCTTCCTTCTTTCCTTTCCTTCCTCTTTCCTAAAACTAGATAAGATATCCTTGCATTTTTTTCTTTTGGGTAAGAATGCAAAATTTTTGTTTCTTCATATTTTCTTGTTTATCTGTGTCAGCAGCAGACAGATGCCATTTTTATTTCCATATTCCATAGCCTTAATTTTCTTTTCCTTTTTTTTTAATATTGGGTATCAAATTCGGATGCACTTGGCCACTAAGCCATATCCCCAGCCCTATTTTGTATTTTATTTAGAGACAAAAATCTCACTGAGTTGCTTAGCACTTCACTTTTACTGAAGCTGGCTTTGAACTCAGAATTCTCCTGCCTCAGTCTCCAAAGCTGTTGGGATTACAGGTATGTGCTACCTTGTCCAGCTTTCTTTTCCTTTTGATGAGTAACTACTTAAATCTTCAAAACCCACCCATGTCAGACTATCTTTTCTGAGAAACCTTTAAATCCTTCCCACTTTTAGCTCCCAGTAGAGTTAGGAGTTTCCTTCTCTGTGCTGCTGTAGCTCTCTGAACATATATAACAATATTCCTCATAACTGTATTTTAAGTATGTTTTTTACATATCTCTCCTACTTAATCAGTTGATTGAAGAAGTGACCCCCTTCTTTGGCTGGGAGGAGGGAGCAGGAGAAAGTAAAGTAAATAACACTCTTAGTTGGTAGAAGTTGAAACACTGGATTTTAAATTTCTTGAGGGCAGAAATAATGTTTTAATTATTTTTGCAACTTCATTGCTTAGCCAGAAAGCACTRTTTAGTCCTTGATAGAATTTCATTAATATTCACTGAATAATCAATTAATTGAACGTAAAGTTTATTCCTTATACTTACATTATTTTTTGCTTAGTTTTGATTTACTCTTCCCTAATACAGAAAGCTCCAAGTGTAAATGACACATTTGAAAATTTCCTTAATCATCTAATGATTTATATGAAATTATAGTACTGAATCACCTTAATTTAGGAATTTAAACTTGAACAATGTTTTGTGCCATTAACATTTTATAAAATGAACTGGTAGTCAGTGGAAAGAATATAGAGCCAGATAAAGTTTGGAAAGGAATCATCATGTTTTGATGTGGTTTTTGGTTGTTTTATGTGCTTTTATGCCTCATCAGAGAGTTTGTGGTAGTAGTTGGGAAGAAAGTTGTGATACATTATTAGGACCACTAGTAAGGCTGTCCATACAGTTGTTGATAGGTTCAAATAAATCCCATGTATCCATTTCAGAAGTGTGAATTGTCTGGTTTTATCTTTAAAATCCTCTTAAGTTTAGTTTTACTTTTTAGAATGCAAAGCTCAAAGTTTTGATTCCTAAAACCACACACACAATAAAAGATTGTTACTTACAAATACCTGTTTAGTAAGTCAACTTTGTTAGAAAGAAATAGACAAAATTATTGTTATTTTCAGATACTTTGAATAGAAAGTTCAGTCAGTGGGTTAAGTTGTTTTCATTAAGTCAGTAGCTTATGGGAAAGTGTCAAGTTTTCTCCTTCCTTCCTTTCTTCTTTCCTTTCCTTCCTCTTTCCTAAAACTGGTAAGAGTTTATCAAGTTTGTTAGGTACAACTTCAATATGCAAAAATCAATGATATGCTTTAATCTCAATTAGAAAATGTAATAGAAAAGTCATTCTCGATAGTAAAAAAAAAAAATCAAATGAATGAACTAGGAATGAATAAACCTAAAAAATATGTAAAGTCTTTATGGAGAAATTATAAAATTCTTGGAAAGATAGAAAAGAATATAAGTATTCTTTATTATGTTTATATTTATAAAAGTATAATTGGAGAGAGACATGGTAAACCTTAATATTAGAAAGATTTAGTTTTTCTTATGTTATTGCATAAGTTTAGTACATTTGCAGTTARAATTCCTACATAAATTTTTTCCAGAGTCCTTGAAAAATATTTTAATATAGATATAAACATGTGAAGATGTATAATAAATGAAAAAGAATAACAAGAGTATTTCCCTTGCCAGATATCAAGGTGTATTAATAGGCTTTAATAAACAAATATATAGTAGTTCCCTCTTATGAGGGATATGTTGTTGTAAGCCTCCTCCAGTGGATGCTTGAAACAGGATGGTACTGAACCCTGTATATACTATGTTTTTTCCTATACATACATTCTTATGAAAAAGTTTAACTTATAAATAAGGCATAGTAAGAGATTGAAAACAATACTAAAATACAACAATTAAAACAAAGTTATAAAAGTAGTAAAAATTATGTGAATATGGTCTCTCCAAATATCATATTGTATTATAGATCTTAGCAACCTCAGCATATAATTTTCTTCCTTTGCTTACTTAGAAGGTCAAGAACTTTGGCTGGTGATGTAGCTCAATGGTACAGTGCTTGCCTAGCATGTATTAGTCTCCAGCACTAGGGAAAAAAAAAAAAAAAAAGAGCCACTTTTCACTTAAAGGATGCTTCTTTGCGACTTATTTGAATTGTACTAGCAGTACCATTCTTGTGCTTTGGGTCCATTATTTAATGAAATAAAGATTATTTGAACATGTACTATGGAACATAGCAGTCAATTTGATAACCAAGACAGTTGCTAAGTTTCTAACATCAGGGTAGCATATGTGGTGTGGATATGCTAGACAAAGGAATGGCTGACTTTTCAGGGCAGGATGGTGCGCCTGAAAAACCTATGAATTTTAAAAACCTATGAATTATTTGCTTCTGGAATTTTCCATCTAATATTTTTGGGTCATGATTGACCTCAAGTAATCTGGAATCACAGACCAACACTGCAAATAAAGGAGGGACTACTTTGTGGACTATTACACAACAGAATGGAATACAGAAATAGGCTCATGCACAGAAAGCTATTTTGATAGTATGCTGTTTTTGTATCATAAGTTAGTAGGAAAAAAAGTGATGGGCTATTCAGTAAGTTTTGCTGGAATGAATGACTCTTCTTTTGGTACAAAGAAGATAAAATTTGAGCTTCACACAGTACGTAAAATTTTGTTTCAGATAAAGGTGGGAAAGGGGTTAAAAAAGCCTAAAACTATTAGATATTGGTTCAAGGGTAGATTACTAAATTTTATTACAGGGGAAAAAAAACCCACCATAGAATACAGAACCATAAACATATACTTAAAGGAAATGATAGCCTTGAGAAGAAATCAGCTTGATTCAGAGAAATAGTTGCTATCCAGGATATGTAAGGAACCCTTACAGATCCATGAAAAAAAGATAACCCTGTGGAAGAAGAAAAATGGACAAAATAAATAAACAAACATTTTATAGAAGAAGCCATCTCAAATAGTCACCAAACACAAGTGGAAATAAGTACAATGGAATATGATTTTCTCTCCTGATAGCAAGTGTAAACTTAAATAGTTACCATATATGGGGTTGGGGGGACAGTAATGGGAGGAAGAAGGTAAACTTCCACAACTACTATGGGGAACATTTGACAATGACTAATAAAATTGAAAATGCTTATATCTCATGGCCCAGCAAGTCCATTGTTGTCATTTTGTTTTGTATTTTGTTTTTAAGATACAGTCTCACTGTGTTGCTCAGGCTGGCCTCATATTCCTAGGCTTAGGCCGTCTTCCACCTCTGCCTCTCCAATAGTTGAGCACGATAGGTGGACCCTATTATGTATGCCCAGCTTGCAAATCCATGCTTCAGTAAGCCTAGAAAAACTGTCGGATTGTGCCCTCTAATTCAGGATAATCATGACCCCAATCTTTATGTTGAAAGACTAGGAACAAATAAATGTGCATTTATACAGAAATATAGCATGTTCTTATAATCAAACTTTAAAATAGATAAGCAAGTATTAATATATAAAATTAAAAAGATCTATAAGCATTAGCTAGCTGTCTTCTATGTTTGTCAATTGACTATAAATATATGCAAAAGAATGAAAAATAGACTGTCAGGAAGTTACATGCCAGCTTTATGTTGATAGTGTGGTAAGAAGGATGTGAGGTTGGGACTTAGGGTCACTGATAGAGAGAACTTTATTGTTATCTGTGTTTTATGTTTTTTATAAAGCCCAGTATGATATATGGCCAATTGCTAATTAGTTCTAAATTTAGATAKAAGGATATGTACATTTGTTTTATTTGTACCTTTTAATATCTTTTAAAAAGAACAACTTTTAAGTATAGCTGAATGTGAATTGGTTTTCAAAATAGGATAAATTTGATTTTTTTTAATCTCTCAACATTACAGTTTGAAAATGTTAAAGAAAAATGACATTTTTTTTGTATTTTATTTTCAGTGATGCCAATTGGTGGAAAGGAGAAAATCACAGAGGAATAGGTCTTTTCCCATCTAATTTTGTAACAACTAATTTAAACATGGAGTCTGAGGCAGGTAAGTTAAATTTTAGAGAAGATTAAATCTATAAAGTTGTTTCGATTAAATTTTTTGATTGACATCTAATTTGTTTTCTGTCATTTATTTATAGATATTATAATTTAACCTACTTCTTTAGGGATTAATTTAGACTCTTCTCATATTTTAAATCTCTGAGACTTAATATATTTAGTGACCATATACATAAATATTTAAATCAACCTAATTATATAGTATAAGAGGCAGTTTGGTGTCTGTCCTGTACAAAGAATGTTGTTATTCATTACTGAGACATAGTGAAAGGGATAACTGGGGGTGTAAGGGGGCATACCTTGTTGGCAAGAGCCAAGTGTGATTACAAGAGTTAGATTTTAGACTTTATCTCACCTCAGTTTGATCCTAGAAAACTCAGGCAAGAATAAAGTAATGTGATGAAGTCACTGAAGTTCCCCAGTTCAGTTCTTCTGAACACCACTCCATTCTGTAGCCACACACTGGTCTCCCTCAGCCACTGTCAGCCATGTTGAGAAAGCATGCCATTTGTTATACAGGCAGTGAGGCAGGAGATCTCAGTTATTCAGAACAGCTTATAATAATGCTAATTGTGATACCTAGAAGTAAAATAGTTAACAGATTTTGAACAGTAATTATTTTATCAACATTGTGCTAAATCTTTTGTGCTGTTTCACTTAATTCTAAAGATTCTGGGTGATAGATTGTGTGTTGCCCTGTTTACTGATAAGGAATCTGAAGCAGAGGTATAACGTGTCTAATAACTGATAGAGCCAGAATTCAAAACCTGACTTACTAAGGGATATATCAGTGCTTATCCTTACCAGTTCTAAAGAAAGAACTTAAAATGAAAGCTTTGTACATTGTGTGTACTATTATCTTTTTGTGTAGAGTGATTCATTCAGAAAAATCAAGTTCTGAGAGGTGGATACTCATTCATTTGAAGACTGGGTACTTTTCCACTAGTTACCGTTTTATTCTTCTAGTCTGACCCTTTTTAGTAAACAGGAATATTGAACATTTTTTTAAATTAGATCTTTATAGTTATACATAGTAATTGGATTTGAGGACATTTTTTAATTAAACAATACTTAAGGGATCCTATATAGTGATTTCCCCTTATCATGATCTGGAGAGATTGAACTACAGTCTTGAAAGTAAAACACATTCTTGGTTTTCAATATGTCCTTGTGTTATGCTGAGCTCTGTTCTTTAGGACATAATTGAAAGTTTGCCAGATACTTGAATTAAGCAGTAACCATTAATTAAGATTTTAAAATCCTTTGGTTACACACATTTTTTGTTTTTGTTTGTGTGGTACTGGGGATTGAAGCCAGAACTTTATACATGCTGGACAAATGCTCTTCACTGAGCTACATCTCCAGTCCTTTTATTATATTTTTTTAAAATATTTTTTTAGTTGTCAATGAATCTTTTATCTATCTATCTATATATTTATCTATTTATTTTTATGTAGTGCTAAGGATCGAACCCAGGGCCTCACACATACCAGGCAAGCACTCTACCACTGAGCCACAACTCCAGCCCTATTTTATTTTGAGACAGGGTTTCACTAAGTTGCCCAGACTGGCCCCAACAGTCTTCTGAGTAGCTGGGATTATAGGTCTGTGCCACCATGCCCAGTTGGTTATATAGATTTTTTGTTGTAATTTTTTGTTTTATTAAAATTTAGAATATTCTGGCAACTTCCTTCCTTCCTTCCTTCCCTCCTTCCAGTTGAATTCAGGGGCACTTTACCACTGAGCTAAGTCTCTGACCCTTTTTATCTTTTTAAAAATATTTATTATTTTTAAATTTATCTGTCTGTTTACTACTTTTGGGTACCAGGGATTGAACTTGGGGACACTCAACCACTGAGCCACATCCCCAGCCTGATTCTGTATTTTATTTAGAGATAGAGTCTCTTGAAGTTGCTTAGCACCTCACCATTGCTGAGGCTGGTTTTAAACTTGCAATCCTCCTGCCTCAGCTTCCTGAGCCATTGGGATTATAGGCGGGCGCAGTGGTGTTCCTGGCCCCCCTTTTTTAAAAAAAATATTTAGTTTTTAGTCATAGGTGGATATAATATTTTATTTTTTTATGTGGTGCTAAGGATCAAACCTAGTGCCTCACACATGCTAGGCGAGCGCTCTACCTCTGAGCCACAACCCCAGCACTCCTGGCCCTTTTTAAAAACTTTTTAAAAACAGGGCCTTGCAATCCTCCTGCCTCAGTCTCCCTAGTTGCTGTGATTACAAGCATGCACCACCATGCCTGGCTTATAAATTATCTTTTATCTGTCTTTTTATGAAAGAATATTTTGTTGAACTGGGAATGCAGTTTAGTGGTAAAGTGCTGACCTAGTATGCACAAGGCCCTGGGGTTGGAACCTAGCACCACACACACAAAAAAATATTTTTTCATTTTGTGTTGTTTTAACTATTATCAGAGTATCAAAATTAGGTTAAAATCGGGTCTTATTTTGTTTATATAGGAAAAAACAGGGTTTTTTTTGGTAGAGGGGGACTATAGATGTAAGTATGAAATTAAGTATTAGGATAATAATCTACTCTTTTTTTATTTAGTTATCCCATTGGTAACACTCAGTTTTTAGGAAAACACACTAATAATACTCACTTGCTTCCCTTAATGTAAGTTCCATAAGTACAGGATTCTTGTCTATTTTATTTACTATGTATGAATGCCTGAAGTGATGCTTGGCACATAATAAGAGCTAAATGAATATTTATAATATGAATGTATATAATCACATTATGATATGAACATAAGTAATAACATTGATTATAAAATGGGATAACTAAAGAACTTTTAATTTTTTTCTTATGGATATCATAGGCCACTTCTAAATTAATGACTAGATATCAAATTAAATGCTATAGAACTTAAAGTTTACTTTGTTTCCATTGCAGCTGTGGACAAATTGAATGTAATTGATGATGATGTGGAGGAAATTAAGAAATCAGAGCCCGAGCCTATTTATATTGATGAGGTAGAGTCCTTCTTTTGTTTGAATAGTTAAACTATCAAGACTTTTCAATTGTATTATCTTTGAGAATGCTTGGGAAGAGTAATTTTGTATTCACTGAAGTTAAAACTTCTTTTGACTTTTTATTAGGATAAGATGGATAGAGCCCTGCAGGTACTCCAAAGTATAGATCCAGCAGATTCAAAACCAGATTCCCAAGACCTTTTGGATTTGGAAGGTACTTAGTGAATATTGAGATTACTTTAATAATGTTTATTATTTTAGCTACTCATATTATTATGAGTTTCTTCTGCCTTGAGATTAGAAATCCAAGGTGGAGAACAGACTAGTGCAGTAAAATAGTAAAAGTATCATTTGAAAGATGTTGCTGTTCCTTCATATCCAAGGAGATCTTGGTATTTCTGTAAGCCCATTGGTGAAATTGGAGTTTTGGTGTCCAAAAGACAGAATTAGAAATAAAAGCCTATWAAATTAATTTAACCAAAAAGTTTAAAAGTCTTAATTTAAAGGTGACTCTAAAGGTCCACATGTGCATGTTCAATGTTAACTTTGAAAGGTAGACATTTGATGCATGCTAATGTGTCCTTTAGTTTGTAAGTAATRTAAAGCAATTAAAACAAATTTTTTCATGCTTTTCTAAAGTCTTTTGTGAGAAAAATGTCTATAATAAATGAATAAATCTTCTTAAATCTTTTTATAGATGAAAAACTGATTATGGGTATAGAATATTTTATCTGAGCTGCTTATTTTATCTGTGTTTAGATTTGGAAATATATAAAAAAATTTTAAATTTTGAAATGCCTTAAATAAAAGTGTTCATATTTAATCAGCACATGGTAGTTACATATTTTATACTATAGCTTAAGTTTGTTTTATGTAGTTAATTTGCTTTATAGATAACTTTTGGGGATGATTTCAAATGTCATAGTCTGTAAACTTAGTTAATAGCACCATGATGAGATTTTTATTTTAATTTTGATCTTGCCTTTGATTACATGATAGAAATATGTAGTAGCAATGGTGCTGAAATAGTATTAACATTCAATCTTTTATAGTTATTCTCAGTATATTATGGATGGTGCTTTATTTTAAAAAATTGTTGAAATTGGCTTAAACTGAATTAAATTCTTACATTTTTAAGCATTTTTGTATTTACAGATATCTGTCAACAGATGGGTCCAATGATAGATGAAAAACTTGAAGAGATTGATAGGTGAGATTTTTCATGCAAAGAATGAAAAGTAGAGTTTTCATAGGTTTACTTGTTTGGGCAAGCTTAGAACTAGTGATAGTTTTGGGCAAACTGTATTATCTGTTGCAATTATTTTATAGACTCCAGAAGCTAATAGCAAGGAGGTGCTTTTCATTTTGGTAACAATTTTTTTCATGGCAGTATGAATAGTATACATAAAATCCTGGACTCTTGTTCTTATCATTCCATTTTTTTACTTGGGCTGGAATTGAGGGGATATTGAGCAATGAAGAATAAAGTGAATAAAGAACAAGATGAACAGGAATCTTAGGCAAATATCATTAATATCATTATGTGAAACGTAGTTTCAAGTGAAATTTTCCTGATTTGGGAAGCTAATCCAAAGCAACAATTTTTTTCTTCTTTTTCTCTTCCTGTGTTCCTGTGTTTCTGTTGTCCTTCTAATTTTATTATCCCAGCTAGTTTTACTGTTCCTAGAAATAGCAGCAGCACTGGAGGATGGGCTATCAGAGTTGTAAGCTTTTAACTTGGTTCTGACATCTGTTGTTATTCCGAGTTTTCTCTCTGAAGTTAGAGGAAGAAGCTATAGTAGAGGAAAGGCAGGAGATGAGACCTTCTTATTCTRTTGTCATCTTTTCTAGCCCTATACAAGCTAAGTGAATGGGCTACCACTGAATTATATCTCTAGCCTTAGCCCCTCTTTATTGAAATGCTATGTAAACAACACAAGAAAAAAGGGATCAAGTGGGACCAAAGTGTGAAGGAGAACAGAAAGTACTTTTTTCCTGTCTCTACAGAGAAGTACCTTCAGCAAGGCTTTCCAGTCACTAAAAATTATAATCTTTGTTCCATGGAGCATTTTTCATAAATCTTTTGTGTTTTCTACAAAAGTTAAAAATAAATCCCTGTGACAGTTAATGACATGATGGTGATAGTTTCATCATATTTTTAGAGAAAGCAGTAAATATGTATTGCTTTGTTTCACTGCAAGGAGTTAATGGTTAGTGTATAATCAAATTGGAAAAGATTTAAAAGAAAAATGGTCAGCATTAAGTAGGTATGACTAGCAGTACAGTTACAAACTTTTCTGGAGCCTAAAAATAATTCACATCACCTTAAGAGAGAATTTTGGATAAACATGAAAACAACTCCAAAAATGTTTAGATAGGTAAGAGATATCTGTTATCTGAACTGTGTTCTAAACTTGTACTATACTTCTGAAGTAATTTCTGTAGCCCTGATCTAGATGTTTCTTCATTCTTTTCCTGTGTATTCCATGTGTTACTTTTGTCTGCCTTTATTCACTAGTATTTCAGTTTGGTCTGTCCATCCTTCCTCAGGGAATATCTTTAGTCCCAGCTTTACTATAAAGCCTTTTTGGTCTACCGTAGCCCAGAATAATCTCTTCTAAATTCTTCTGTTTTCTACCTATTTCATGTAATTTTGCATTCAGTTATATGTTATGTCATTTGCTATTTTCTTAACCTGGTCTCCCTGATAGGTTGTGATTTACTTTCTGCTTTTTCTCTTTCTTTCAGTATAGTTTTGAGTATAGTTTAGTAAAAATTTGTTACTGATTCGAAGTTATATATCTCAGATCTTTAAAGGTGATTTCATACACACTTAATTTCTGTAGATTTAGGTGGTTTGTCACAGATACATCTGAAAGTAGTTTAACTTTATTTATACATTCATGCAACAGGAAACAAGCACTTTCTGTTTTTGTTGTTCAGAGGGAAATAGTATTATAAAGGAAAGGGCTTATAAGTTTTGATAGAGCTCAGACAGATCATTTACTTGGTTACTCTGTATCTTTTTGCCTGCCTTTGCCTCCTACCTTTTTTTGGTTACATTGAAAGAACCGCATCCAATAAACGGGTTACATTGAAAGAACCACATCCAATAAACAGGCTTTTGGATGCTTTAAGCCAGATAAAAAGTGGCCATTTGACTTTTATAAACTTGGAAATTGCAAAAAAAAAAAAAAAAAAAAAAGTTTATTATTCCCAAGGGAACAGACAAAATTGTACCAAGTCGGAAGGATTTGCTCTGGAGTTCCTTGAACAAATGTGAAAAAGCTCTTATTTGGATTTGTTATTTCACAATAAGGTGCCTGGTTTCACCAACTTTCTCAAAATCAACTAATAGATAAGAACAGTAGAGATCTCCATGCATATACATTGCTTTTATTTGTATTTTCAAGAGTAATTTTTTATTTAAATAATTTTTTCAGTTGATCTTTTTACCATATAAGCAAATAAAAAGGTGATTTTTATTTTTTAAATAAGAGGTTTGCTCTCATTTTAGTCATATTGTACTTCACAGGGACTGTGGGTCTTTATAATTACTTCCACTCAGGAACTTTTTGTTTATAATTAAATTTTCAACATAAACCTGTAATATAGCAAACTAAATTCTTCTAGCACCAGAATTATGAATTGATTGCATTTTATGATATGTGGAAAGGATATTATGAAGTTATATTAGCCTGGCTACTACAAGAATTAAATAATTTTTCTTCCCGGTTTCTCATTGTGAATATTCTTTCATTGTATATGAAAAGAACCTTTTAAAATATGAATGAAGAGTGTGCTAAATTTAAAAAATAATTTACATTGCTAAATATATACCTAAAATGAGAAGAGTATGAAAATGCTTTTCTCTTCTGTATCAGGAAGCATTCAGAATTGTCTGAATTGAATGTAAAAGTCCTGGAAGCTCTGGAACTATATAACAGATTGGTGAATGAAGCACCAATATATTCAGTCTATTCAAAACTTCATCCTCCAGCACATTATCCATCTACATCTGCTGGGGTTCCAGTGCAGGTGAGCATGTTTTCTGAGAACATGTTTTCAAAGTTATAGTTTTGAATTTAAAAAAATGTTTTGAAATATTGAAATTTATGTAGTCCCTGAATAAAATTATAAAACCAGTCTTTGTTTCTAGAAATATTGGCTAAACATTAATGTTCACCAGGACAAATTAGTTACTGATAATGTCACAAAAGCACTTAGTTCAATTTTATCATGAATGAAAACAGTATTAAATATATAGGGGGTATTCTGGTTCTTCGTGTGTTTTTGTAAGAATAAAGCATAAAAATCTTTAAATATAAATCCTTTGTAAGTATAAACTACACATCCTTTGATTTAGGATCTGGTGTATCAAAGGTTTTCTGCGTGAGGTACTAGTGCTGTTGTTGCTATTCAGCAAGAAGATTGAACATTTCTTTAAAAATCTTTTTTCAAGATTTCTTTGACGTATAATTATAACAGCACTTAGTTAATGAACTTTTGGTCTCAGAACATATTTATTTTTTTGTTAGTGCATGACTTAAATTGTTACAAAACTCATGCATAATAAAAATATGATAGAGGTCTATGAGATGTAGGTGCCATAAAGCTATCTGTAAACAGCATCTTTTTGTAATACTTCTCACTCTTTTTTGTGTTTGCCAGATAACATGAATACTTATATCAGTATCCCCATTCTCAAGGCTTTTTCAAATTTTAGCTAGTTAACCAATCAAAATGATCTTGGATGAATAAATTTTATGTTAATTTATGAAAACTAGTATGTAAAAGAGTGTGTGATGGAGACACTAGAGGGAAAAGGTAGAATATGGGTACATAAATTAGATGACTTAGTACAACATAATTGTTAAAGAATGGTTACTGTAGTAACAGTCACATCACACAAGATGCATTTATCAAATATGCCATACCCTGAATTTCTGAAAATTACCTCTGAATGTAAGAAGAACTTCTGGGTGCAGAAAGACTGCCAGTTATTCAGTATTGCTGGCTTTCAGAGTTGTTTGCTACTGCTGTGAAACTAGAACAAAATAGAAATGTCTGCACCATTGTATAATAGAACTGCATGTTCACCTCTTGTGTATAAAGGGATATTTGTTATTCATGGATCAGGTATTTGTGTTAAGATGCATTTTATTTACAGTCTACAATCTATATTTTTCTAAGTGCAACTAGTTTCATTAATTTTTTTTTTTTTTTGGTACTGGGGATTTTTTGGTACAGGGGTACTTGACCTCTGAGCTACATTCCCACCCCTTTTTGTTTTTTATTTTGAGACAGGGTCTTGCTAAGCCGAGTTGCTGATACTGGCCTTGAATTTGAAATCCTCCTGCTTCAGCCTCTTTAGTCGCTGAGTATAGAATGCTACCACACCCAGTACAACTATTTCTTCAAAGTTGATTTTCTGTCAGTTTGATTCTTCATATGATCTCTATTTATACTGCTGGCACATAATACTACTTGAAACATTCAAAAGTTTCTTTGAAAAATTTATTAGAAGCAGGTGGAGTAATACACTGTTAGTTATATCTGTTAGGACCATTCAGGAACCCTGAACTGCAGAAGAGTCTATTCTTCCAGTCTTATCCTCTTAGCTGTGAGTTGTTTCATGTTTCCTCAGGAGATAATGTGATTGCACCTAACATAGTTTATCTGGCATTTCTAATTTTCATGTGAATAATCTTTGCTTTTAAAGTAGCACAATTTGCTGGATATGATGGCACATACATGTAATCCCAGTGACTCAGGAGATTGAGGCAAGAGGATCACAAGTTCAGGACCATCCTCAGCAACTTAGACTCTGCCTCCAAATTAGAAAAGGAGAATGAACCAGGCCCAGTGACACACACCTGTAGTCCTAGTGGCTCGGGAGGCTGAGGCAGGAGGATGCAAGTTCAAAGCCAGCCTCAGCAACTTAGTAAGGCTCTAAGCAATTCATCAAGATCCTGTCTCTAAATAAAATACAAAATAGGGCTGGGGATATTGCTCAGTGGTTAAGCACCCCAGTACCAAAAAAAAAAAAAAATAATAAGAGGCAGTAGTAGAGGCCAGGTATATGTTAGAGATGTAAGTCAGTGGTAGAGCATGTGTGGGTTCAGTCCCCAGTACTGAAAAGAAAGAAATGTAGGAGAGAGGGAGGAAGGACATAACCTAATTTAAAACCAGAGCAGTGATACAATAGACATTGCCAGAGAGGGCCTGCCATCTTGATACCATTTCTTTTCCAACCTCTTTTCCTATAGAAAGGTGTTGGATGAAGGTCACCATTCTCACAGTGACTTGAGGTGATGTTGGACTTCCCTTCATGGGAGTGTTCTATGACTTTACAGCAAGACATGTTACTGAGTAAATAGGTAGTTTGGGTAGATTTCAGCTTACTACTTGAAAGTAAACTCTCTCTCCTCTTTCGCCCAACCTCCACAAAATAAAAGAACAACCAAGCAAATAGTAGATTTTTGTAGATTTGGTACTTCGAGAGTTTGGAAGCTCTCTGTTTTTTGTTTTAGGGTGAATAGATTGGTGAAATCAAATAAAGAACTAGAACATTTTCATTCTTTTAAGTCTCAAAGTTATTAGATATTTTAAGATGTTTGGGACAGCAGTGAAGTCAACTTTTTCTTTTTGGTTAATAGACTTATCCAGTTCAATCACATGGTGGAAACTACGTAGGTCAAAACATTCACCAAGTAACTGGTGAAAACTACAGCCTAGGAACAGATCATATTGGTTCGCTGAGATCTCTGCCTCCAAGTGCAAATTCCTCAGTAACAACACAGCCTGCTCAAACTCCATATTTAAGGTAAGTTTTGACAGCCATCTTAATTTTCCACAGACTTTTTGAATCAGAATATACTGACCCTACACTTTGTAATAATAGTTCCAATTTTTACTTTTAAAATGAAATCATAATGTGGGTGTGGTGGTGTATACTGTAATCCCAGCTAGTTGGGAGGCTGAGTCAGGAGGATCACAAGTTCAAGGCCAGCCTGGCCAAAATGGGCTGAGGATATAGCTCAGTGATAGTGCACTCCTAGCTTCAATTCCTAGTACCATATACGCACACACACAAAATTATATAGAAATGCCCATTCATAGTCCCATGAACTGAAATGGTGCTTCCCTTAACTTTACTACTCATACTGTGATGGTTGCCTAGATGTAAGCCTACAGTTTAGTTCCCTAGAATAAAATAAAGCTAACTGTCCTTTGTGAGGACTAAGCCTTTGTTGTGCTTTAGCACTGTACTATAATCCACTTAGTGAAATAGTCCCAGACTTATTTATCTGCTTGTACTTCTAAATATTAGAAAACTATTATTACTTTGTCCTTTAAGAGAAAGTATGTTTGAGCTGTGGAATTTGGGGCTTAATTTTTTATACAAACACTTCTGAGAATCATGTTTTAAATCTTTCCTTACTCACTTTGTTCTATCACAGAAGATATTTGTGTATAATGATCTCCAAGGTCCCTTTCCACTCTTATCATGAGTGTGAGTTTTAGACATTACTTAAAAATTAAATAAAACTGTTTATATTGGTGTTTGGTTAAGATAAAATATAAAATTTTATTATTCTAAATGACACTAAAAATATGGAGGAAAAAAGACTGGTATGGTGTTGACATTAATTCTCCTGCATTGCTAACAGCATTTGGTATATTTTCTTTTCTTTTCTTTTTTAGCACTGAGGATTGAACCCAGTGCTCTCTACCACTGACCTACACCTCCATGTCTTTATTTTATTTTTTGAGAAAGGTCTTACTAAGATGCCCATGCTGGCCTTGAACTTGATCCTACTTCTTCAAAGGTTTCCCAAGTAGCTGGGATTATAGGTGTGCACTCAGTTAAAATGAAATATATTTTAAAAGAAATGTATGTCATATTAGTTACAGGAAGAGACAGAAGTCCTGAAATATGGTGTGATTTTTCAACTTAGTTTGGTGTTTTTATACGTGGTAGTAAAATACTGTTCTGAACTATCCCAAGGATTCAGGGTGCTCTCCAGATTATACTGTTTTCTCTTTAAAAGTGAAAGTTCCTTTCAAAGGAAAGTTGGAAGGGTGTGTGAGGAGAAAGTGCTGTGTTGGAAAATGGGAAAGGGAGAATATGGGCTGGAAAATATACATTGAACCAACTCTGTCCTCATTGGAGTTGGCCACAGTCAGAACAGCATCTTCTCAGTTTTTAAATGTTTTTGCTGAGAGATATTCAAGAAAGCAAATTAAATAAGATTTATATTTTTATATTCTCTTGCTTTTTGAGCACTCTTCTCTTCTTACCAAATATAAAAATTATATACAGTATTTGGTAGTTTGAGTGATTAAATTATAACCAGAACAGCAGAGCTACATAAACTTAAAAAAGATTGAAAAGTCAATTTTTGTCATGATGATTGATCCTGACCATAATCTAGATAATGTAAAGTAAATATGATTTTCTTCTTTAAATTTTGTTTGTAGCACTGGACAAGACACTATTTCCAGTCCTCCTTATATGAACCAGAACTCTAATCTTCAGTCAGCTACTGGTACAGCTGCTTACTCACAGCAGATGGGGATGTCTGTGGATATGTCATCTTACCAGAACACTACTTCCAATATGCCGCACCTGGCAGGCTTTCCCATGGCAGTCCCAACTCAGTCGGTTGCACAGCAGCAAACAAACTATCATCAGCAACCTCTCCTTTAGAGAAAAACCAAGCATTTTTGTGGAAACCTTCATAAGTGTCACTTGTGATTCTAATCTGAAAATATTAAAAGGAAACTTTTTCCCTCTGAACTCAAAAGGACCATGAGTAAATAAAAGCACAAAACCTAACTTACTCTAAAGGCCATAAAAGTTTTTTTCAGACCAGTTTGTTTGAAGTCAGAGGCAGCTTAAAGATGCTCCCAGTTAGTTTTGTCATACTTTCAAATGTCTTTCCGTGAATCTGGACACCCAATAAGTAGCTTTATGACACTAAACAGTATGAGATAGAAGTGTAAAAATTTTACTTTAAAGAAACCATTGTTACCATTGTTTATCCCGAAAAATGTCTTAATGAGAGAATTGAAGACCTTTAAATATTTTTTGTCTGCATTTTTTTTTTTTTTTTTTTTTTACCATTTCCCACACACTGTTGTATTAAAAGGCGAGGGAACATCTTTTTTTGTATAAGCATTTCGTTTGCCAACATGCTTCCTTTTGGCTCCTTAAATTGCAGTTGTGTTTGCAGTACTGTCAGTTTTACTCTCAGTGTTATGTTGAGTAATAATTAGCATATAATTGTCTACAGAAACAAGAGCGATTTGGAAGGAACAAAAATGTTTTCTGTTATTAATAGCAAAAAACATGTAAATGCAGATGTGTGAGAAAGCACTTAGCCATTTCCCTACTCATGCCCATAGTGGGCTAAAGAATTTCCATTCCCTGAGGAAAAACATTTTCTTCTCTACAAGCATCTTTATATTTAAAATTGTCACTAATGACCCTATCAAATCACTTTGGTCATTGTCTGATGCAATATGATCCATTTATTTTACTTCCTGTGTTGTGATATGCAGAGATTCTGCGTTTCTTTTTTATGGATTATACCTGACTTTGAGCCATGAGACATACCTAATAATTTGATGTGATATAAACCAAGCATGGATGATAAGTGAGTTTTTATTGAAGTCTTGTTATTGTAAAAGAAGTGATTCAAATACCACTGCTAAGATGTTATCGTGCCAAGCTATTGAAAAATATCATCTCCTTTCACAAGTAATTCTGAACCTTTGGAATAATAGCAGGTGATGATTTGATAGAAGGCAATGGATTGATAGACAGTTCAGTCAGTTTTTCTGAAGCCCATGTTTTAAAAATTAGTTTATAGCTAATAGATTCCACATACTGTAGAAGTTGGTAGAAAACCAATAAGGATTATTTTCTCTCTTCAAAATTTGCACACTACTTTTTTATCTACCAACTTTTTACATAGTATAATATTGAAAATGCATATACTTATAGATAAATGATATTTAGACTGGGAAAAATAATGGACATAAGTTGAATATTTAAAAAGTTAAAACTTTTTTGCATGGATTCTAGATTTCTATATTGGTTTTTTAAAGAAAATAATCTTTCTAATAAGAATCCATTTGAAAACAGACTACAAATTTTGTCATTTATCTATTTACAGGAATTTTATTGTAAGGATATACCTTTTTCGAAGATACTTTGTTCCAGAACAAAATACTGTATATAATACTTGGTCTATATTTTAAAAGGAAAACAAGCAGTATTTGAAAACTTAGTTTTTGTTGTATTATTTCTAATCAGGTATCAAAAGGAAGTTTTAACCTTCCACACCATTTTTACTTTTTCATTTAGTATTTTCCTTTCAGATAAACTCAGCTATATACTTATAAAAAATATTCTAAAATGGCACCTTGCTTTTTTAAATTACTTTTTTAGTTGTAGATGGATATAATATCTTTATTTTGTTTATTTATTTTTTTATGTAGTGCTGAGGATCGAACCCAGTACCTCAAACATGCTAGGCGAGTGCTGTACCAGTGAGCCATAACCCCAGCCCCTAAAATGGCACCTTACATTTTAGAAACAAATTATTTGTTCTTTAAGAAAGAAAACAAAATTTAAAAAACATCCAAAGCTGCTTTTGGTAATTCAAGTTAGTATTTGCATATATATAGAGAAAAAATTTTACATTTTTCTTCCAAACTGTATTTAATAAATTAATTTTAATGTTTGTGTAAATATACTATATTTAATTGGGTCAAATTGGAAAAGTTTAGTTCATCATAAGCCTTTGAGCCAGTATAAATACTGCACACCCACTAAATTGGAATTGACCAATTCAGCTAATGTAGTTTTGGAATAATAAAATATATGACATGTATATAAATGGTGTATATTGGCATTAATCTGAACATTTATATATGTAAAAATTTATTCCTCTTAAAAATAATTTTGTTTTTGCCATTATAAGGAGTTTTGTGTTGCAGGTTGATAGTATAAAAATTATGTTAAATTTGAATTGACCTCTTACTATTAATAAGAATGGCAAGGTTGCTCTTTTCTTTCCATAATTTTATGGATTATATTTATTTTAAGGCATTTATAACTAAATGTTTTTGCCAAAGGAATGGTCTAACTTGAGATTTCTACATTGGGTTCACACTTACTGTTTTAATATCAAAAATTTTAAAAATAACTTCTTTTTCCCATATGAAATCTTAGTACTTTAGAAAGAATTCCTGCGAATTTATAATGGAATTGATTTTAATGTAGAAAAATGCCACTGGTATTAAAATACATGAAGTGGGATATGTTCATATAGTTTGAAAAATGTACAGCTAACCAATATTGCCTAATTTGTGGAACTTTATGTRGAAAATTACCTGAACATTAAATAATTATATAATATCATTCATTTGAAATTATTTACAGGTACATTGTCATTTTGTACTATTTTGAGTGGAGATCCTTTCTCAAAATAAAATACAAAGGTCTGGGGTTGTAGTTCAGTGGTAGAATGCCCCTAAGTTCAATCCCTAGTACTGCAAAAATAAAAATAAATAAATAAATAATAATGTGGTTGGGTTGGAGATGTAGCTCAGTGGTAGAGCATGTGTACATCCCTGAAATTGATCACCAGTGCTATAAATAAATAAATAGGCTTGTGAATTTAAAATAAATAAATAAATAAATAAATACACACACACATATATGTATTTATATATATATATATATTTTTTTTTTTTTTAAGATTTCTTGAATTCCAGGAGAGGATCTATTGAATTGTCAATATGATGAGAAAGCTGAAGTCATTTTTAAAAATTTTAAATTATAAATGACATAGCACTGATTTATCATTTGTTTATATCAAAAGGTAGTTTTATTTACATCAGTTTCAGTAAGTAAAAGGAGGACTCATTTAATTTTTATTTGATTTAGTTTTCTTTTGAAGATTCAAAGTTTATTTTAAAAAATTTTCCCCAGAGATGAAATTATTCTAATTTTATCATGCTAAATTTGAATTTGGAAGTTTTTTTTTTTTTTAAACTTACTGGATCTAAAAGAAATATGCTGCTGCTTACATAGTATAAAAAAATGAATAGTAGCCCCCTCAGATTTATGTCTACCTGGAATGTCAGAATATAACCTTATTTGGAAACAGTCTGTATAGATGCAATTAGTTAAGGATCTTGGGTAGAAATCATTCTGGATTTAGAGTGGGCTCTAAATCCAATGCTGAGGTCCTTAAGAGAAGACCCAGTGAACAAGGTCATGTGAAATGGGGGCAGAAGTTGCAACTATGCTGCCACAAAGCAAGGACTGCCTGAGATCACCAGAGTATGCAAGAGGCAAAGGATTCTTCCCTAGAGCCTGCAGAAGGAACATGGCCTACCTAACACTTCAATTTCAGACTCCTGGTCTTCAGAACTGTGAGAAAATAAACTTTGACCATTAAGCCTCCAAGTGTATGGTACTTTGTTATGCAGTCTTAGGAGACTAACACACATGGCTAAAAATGTGCAAAGAATTCTGAGTATCAAACATGTGGAACTTTTACAAGTTTGCCTAAAATCAGCCCAAGAGTTCTGAGAAAAATATATAGTCTAGTAACAGGTTTTTTTTTGTTGTTGTTTTTTGTTTTTTTGGTACCAGGGATTAAACTCAGGGGCATTCAACCCACTGAGCCACATCCCCAGCTATTTTTTTTAAATATATTTTAGTTGTCAATGGATCTTTATTTATTTATATGTGGTTCTGAGAATCGAACCCAATGCCTCACACATACTAGGCAAGTGCTCTGCCACTGAGCCACAACGCCACCCCACACCCAGCCATTTTTTGTCTCACTGAGTTGCTTAAAGCCTTGCTTTTGCTGAGGCTGGCTTTGAACTTGCAGTCCTCCTACCTCAGCCTCCTGAACTGCTGGGATTACAGGTGTCTGCCACCACACCTAGGCAGTAGCATTCTTTTGGTTTTTGCTAAAACAATGAAATTGCTTGGATAGATGAAGCTAAGACTCCTGTAAATTCCATAATTCCATTTTACTGTTTTTTGTTTTTGTTTTTTTTTTTTTTGATACCAGGGATTGAACTCAAGGGCACTCAACCATTGAGCCACATCCCCACTCTATTTTAAATTTTATTTTGATATAGGATCTCACTGAGTTGCTTAGGCCTTCACTAAGTTGCTGAAGGTGGCTTTGAACTTGTGATCCTCTTGCCTTGGCCTGCTGAGCTGCTGGGATTACAGGTATACGCCACTGCATCCTGCTCCATTTTACGGATTCTTAATCCCATGCCTACATTTCAGTAATATATTTCTTTGTGCTAGAGGTGTTTATGAGGTTACAATTTTTTTTTCCATTTACTGTCTACTCCTCTGCCCCTCTTGATTAATGGGTATTTAATGATGGGAAAAATCTTAAAAGGTGAACAGAAAAACAGATAAGAAAAAAAAATTAGTTTGATATTCCCCTACAAAGAATGAAGATTTGGTTTTGTTCTTATTTATACCATTTACTATTCTAATGGGGAAAATAAAGGCTTTCCAATACTTTCAAAGCAGGAAAGTGATCTTTACTGATTACATTTTGGTCTACATAACAAAATTAACCACTTTAAAGTAAACAATTTCATGGCTTTTATAATTCTGTACAATTGTCACCTCTAGTTCAAAAACTAGACCTTTTTGTGTCTGGCTTCTTTGACTTTAATGATGTTGTCTTGTACTTAGCATAATGTTTTTGCTGTTCATTTCTATTATAGTGTGTATACTAGGATTTTATTTCTTTTCATGGCATAGTAATATCCATTTTATGTATATACCACAGTTTATCTGTTCACCTATTGATGAATATTTGAGCTATTTCTACTTTTTGACTATTGTGAACAGTACTATGAATATGTAGATTTGAGTAACAATTTCCAGTTCTTTTGGATATATACCTAAAAATGAAAGTCCTGAATCATATATTAATCCTACATATGACCTTTTGAGGAACTGCTGAATTTTTCCTCAGCTGAACCATTTTACATTTCTGTTAATAATTAATGAGAGTTCCAGTTTCTTCATCTTTTGCCATACATCACTGTGAGATGGGTGGGGTCCCAAATGGTTTACTGGGTAGAAAATGCCTTCAGATATGAGAATAGTAATGCATGGAAGAGCAAAATAGTAGATATATCTATTTAATTTGTACATTATAATGCAATTAGCTCTGGCACACAGGTAGATTGGGGAATCTAGAGCTTGTTGAGATAAATAGATGGGCTCATTCTGAGAATTGGTGTGGCTCTCATACAGATTAGTTAAACATTGCAGCAATGGAAATGAGAAAGCTTCCAGTGTACAGTTTTACAAACAGAAAAGAGCTAAATTCAGGGTTGCTGTGAGGAAGAAGTAGGTGACATCAAGATCAGAGTAGTGGAGTTGAAGACTTGTGGACCGGGAGCCCAGGCAAAACCTGGTTTCTGCATGAGCCAAGATTGCTGAGAAAAAGTCCAGCCTGAGCTCCAGGCTCTGTTTTATTTTGGATGAGGGCCAAATGCTTTAGAATCAACATACATTATGTATTGGGGATTGAACCCAGGGCCTCATGCATGCTGGACAAACATCCTACCTCTGAACCTTCTTGCCATACTTCTTGGCAATCTTTCTAACCTCTTCTACTCTCACATATGCTAGACTATAACCGCCAACTCAAAATTCCTCAGAAGCCAATTTTTCTTTTTCATACCTATTTGACCCTGATATATATATATATATATATATATATATATATATATATATATATTTATATTTTTTTTTTTTTTACTGAAATGCTTTTGTCCATCTGATTATCAAATGTCATCCCAAATTTCACTAGCCCCCAAACCATGCTGTGCTTCTGAACAATCTTGTAACATTTGTCTTGTGCATTGGAATGAGCTGTTTATAGATCTGTCTGTGTGGCAGATGCTACAGTTTGGCTCATTCAACATGTGTTTCCAACCATCTTCTTATTTAGATTGCTCTATATGAAAGTCAGTAAACAATATAATTGTACTTCCCTTCCTAAAATCCATTGCAGTCAGGGTTGGCCACATGACATGGCTTTGGCCAATAAGATTTAGGTCAGAGCACAGCCATATCAATGTTTATAGCAGCACAATTCACAATAGCTAAACTGTGGAACCAACCTAGATGCCCTTCAATAGATGAGTGGATAGAAAATTGTGGCATATATACACAATGGAATATTATTCAGCAATAAAAGAGAATAAAATCATGGCATTTGCAGGTAAATGGATGGAGTCAGAGAAGATAATGCTAAGTGAAGTTAGCCAATCCCCAAAAAACCAAATGCCGAATGTTTTCTCTAATATAAGGAGGCTGATTCATAGTGGGGTAGGGAGGGGGAGCATGGAAGGAATAGACGAACAAGATAGGGCAGAGGGGTGGGAAGGGA